CAAGAAGAAAATTTATCTTAGCTGATGTATTTCGTCCTCTGAGGGACTTTATCAAGGCAAATCTAAGGATTTTATTTTGTGGCAGGTATTTATATACAAGTGCAAAAATTTTATTAGTTTTACAAACTTTTCAGTATTTTCCCATTTGCCTACTTTTTTTCGCTTGTACCGGATGCAAGTAAAGATGAAAACAGATGAAAAATTCCCATTTGCTAGCTTACTGGCTAGTAACTTTTTCTCATGTGCCAGATGCCGGTGAGACTGAATACAGATAAAAAAAAATCTAATTTACCTGGCTTAAATTTCATTGCTTTCAGTGTTAACGCTTGTTCCCTGCCATTATTACACCTGCTATAGCTTCATTTAATGTCTCTTGTTTTACCCACCCTCATTTTACAGTCAGCCCACTTGCTAGGCTGACCTCTATTGGCACTGCCAACTGAGACATTCATCCATATAAAACATTGATTTATCTAAATTATTCATTTAGTATTTGCCTGACTTTACATATCCTCATCCAATCATTTATTATTTAGTTATCCTAGAATGCATTAACTATTGTTATTTTTTTTCTTATGTGAACAATAATTTCTCATATAGCAATATTCAAGAATAAATGAATCAGTTTGTAACATGTGACAAATTGCTTAGCATATATGCCAAATAAATGACTATAATAACCAGCTACTTGTTTGAAAATGTCAAACACAATGTCCTTCAAAAAGAAAGTACTTTATACTCCAAATAATGAGGACCTGTTTGTTCAAGAATGAATAGTACTAATATATATATATATATATATATATATATATATATATATATTGTATTTAGGCAGCATTTTTTCATTCATTGATGCATGTTTCATTAAATAATATAGACAAGTTTTGTCTATTTATTTTATGTAAATTCTTTTCATATCGTCTGATAAGCTTAATAACATTATCATTAAACGAAGAACGAAAATCACCATATTGATACATATTTTTTAATCCTTTTTCGGCTTACATCAAAGCTTTTTCGGCTTATCAAAGATGACAATTACATTACAATATATTAAACAATACACGGACAAAACAATAATGATAGTCTGTTTTTGTTTACATGGAAGATTTCCAAGCAACGACAAACTCGTGCATACGAGACGCTAGAAGCGAAAATGCACGGCAGCTCATGATGTCACACATGACCACGCAAGAGTGAAAACGAGAAGTATTAAGTATGGGAAGTCATTGGTATAAACCAATGGCTTCTGTAATCAATTATAGGCACTTAAGAATATTTGTGGAGATTTCATAGTTTATTTTGTTCAGGTTAGGTTTCAACAGTTTTATGTATATAGCTTCAAGAAATTTTAGTTTTTGTTTATTGTTTTCATGTTTAAGTATAATTGTGTTTTCAACAATGATTTTCTGGAATTGTGCATGCGGCCAGGCATATTGTTTAAATGCCTAAAATGTTAGAGTTATCATTCAAATGTAGTGTCAAGCATCATGAAAGCAAGTTTGGTGTGACCAACATAAATATTATTTAATCCATTGGAGATAAAATCTCCCAAAGAGCACTTGAATTTTTAAACTATGTTGTAATGTAATTGTCATCTTTGACAATGGCTTATGTAAACCAAAAGCTTAGATAGGATGAAAAAATATGTATCAATATGGTGATTTTCTTTCGTCTTTTAATGATAATGTTATTAAGCTTATTCTGATAAAAGAATTTACATAAAATAAATAGACAAAACTTGTCTATATTATTTAATGAAACATGCATCAATATATATATATATATATATATATATATATATATATATATATATATATATATATATATAGTATAGATGGATAGATGTGTTTCACGGTTTTAGTGATCGTCAGACAAGGGTCTGATGATCACTAAAGCGTGAAACCCAGGGTCACAAACTCACATCTATTCAACCAAATATGTTAGCTCTATCCCTGATATTGAGTGCTTTCTAATAAGTATCACAAAGATATAATATATAAATAATTATATATATATATTTATTTATATTTATATACTTTTCACATATATATATATATATATATATATATATATATATAAATGTGTAGAAGTTTTTTTCTCATAACCTAAAATTGTTCTTGGTATATAAAAATTTGTATATCATTCTCTCATTATATATTTTAAAAAATGGCTAAAGAAGTGACCAAAATTGCTTGGGGCTTGGGACAATAGACATCATGGACAATTTCTACTCTCCCTTAATAATTTTCCTTGTCTGTCATATTCAACAAAACATGTTTGAAAGAAAAGTTGCTGCTCAAATATACATTTTATATATATATATATATATATATTGTGGACTCTCCCATCATTGATCAACACCGGCTGTTGACCCCACCCCTACTGGGGATTCTTTATATAATGTATAAGTGTCAGGCCCCTCAGTTCCTATGAACCAACAGCCAGACAACCTGCACATATGATTTGATTATAGTGGTGAAGGCTTTGTGCAGAACCAACCACAATTTTTGAAGGGCCAAATACAGAGACCTGA